AATGATCGAAACTCGACTGTTTACTATTCTCTTTAAATTATCCAAGAGAAATATATTACTATGCACTTTAATTCATATGTTTTAGCCTATGTGAATCAATTATATCTTTTGTTCAAGCTGTAATGGTCAGTTAATGTAAAACTGAACGTCTTAAAGCAGATTTTGATGTTTTTTTTATGTTATTGACAGTGATAAATTCTGATTTAAATGAATGGGTAACAATATTTGTTGGTTAAGTCTTGTTGTTCTTGTTTAACAAAGGTTAGTGAGATCATTTTGCTGCACATCACGACCAAAGAAGTCAATGGCACACTCTTTTGAACGTGAATAGGCATGTTATAGTTGTGTGCTAAAAGTCCATTATAAGCTGTAAACTGCTGATATATTTTCAACATAGATTGAGCTTTTCAGACATTACATTACTAATTGCTTCACAAACAGCTGAAATGGTTTATTGTTATTGGCTATCATCATCAAACATTTTTCACCATGGTAGGTTAATCTTCATGGGTACAGAATAATGCATGTGATTGGCCATCTTACAAATCTATGTCTCAGATTCATAAGGCTGTCACTCTGCATGAATCTCTGAATAAATCTTGTGCAACCTTCTGTGTACTGGTTATTTACACTATAGGTATTATATGCATTAATTAACTTTGATAGTATTTCAGGATTTGAACTTTTCTTTACGGGAGGTTAACAACAATGTGATGTTTTATTATAGATGCATATGAGGAAGCTCGACTCAAACATCCACACGCAACTGTGATTTCTGACTGGTAGACAGATGAGGATGATGATTGCCTGTCATACATCTAAAGACAGAACAGGTTTGTTTGCAATTATTTTAAACACATACTGTCAACATTATGTCATTGATCTATTACAACCTGTGAGTTTTGCCCTGGCACTATACTAAAGTGATGTTTTGTTTTGTAAATGTATCTGATTAAGGGACAGTATAGACACATCTATACCGTGATGAAGAAAAATTACTTGGAACAAAGAGGCTGGATAAAAGGCAGGTATGAAGATTTCAGAAATCAATGCAGCACCACAAGTACCATCACCATCAATGACTATGGCAGAAATCTTAAGACCACCATCAAGATGCACAGATACTGTACATTCCAGTACACCAGGCGTGTCCAAACTACGGCCCGCGGGCCATCTGCGGCCCGCAAGGCTTTTTATAAATATCAATAGAATCTGGCCCGCTATACAAAAATGAACGTAATTCAATAAATAACCACCGGGTGTCGCTATTACATGCATTCAATTAAGCAGCAGTTCTTGTTATTATCTATCTATCTATCCATCTGTCTGTCTGTCTGTCTGTCTGTCTGACTGTCTATCTATCTTCACACAGTTGAAGTCTAAATTATTAGCCCCTCATTTATTTATTTCTTCTTTTTTAAATATTTCCCAAATGATGTTTAACAGAGCAAGAACATTTTTACAGTATGTCTGATAATATTTTTTCTTTTGGAGAAAGACTTTTGTTTTATTTCGGCTAGAAAAAAAAGCGGTTTAAATTTTTTTATGAACCATTTTAAGGTCAAAATTATTAGCCCCTTAAGTCTTCAGAACAAACCATTGTTATAAAATAACTTGCCTAATTACCTTAACTTGACTAGTTAACTTGATTAACCTAGTTAAGCCTTTAAATGTCACTTTAAGCTGTATAGAAGTGTCTTAAAAATATCTAGTCAAATATTATTTACTGTCATCATGGCAAAGATAAAATAAATCAGTTATTAGAGATGATTTATTAACACTAATATGTTTAGAAATGTGTGGAAAAAATGTTTAACTCTCCGTTAAACAGAAATTGGGGAAAAAATAAACGGTGGCTAATAATTTAGGGGGGCTAACAATTCTGACTTCAACTGCATATATATATATATATATATATATATATATATATATATATATATATATATATATATATATATATATATACACGTGTCTGTGTGATGTATGTAAAATTTGGCCCGCGACAACGTTTGTTTTTTTGCATCTGGCCCTCGGCCCAAAAAGTTTGGACACTCCTGCAGTACACCTATGAACATTTACAGTCTTTGTTCTAGTGCAGTTTGAGATCAAGACAGAACTTATTGCACCTCGTGATGTCTTTGTAAGAATTGAAGACATCACTAAATTGGTTAAGGTTTAATGCAGCTAGAAAGTAAAGATCAACTAGAGAATATCAGCAGTGTCTAACCCACTGTTGTATTTACAGAGGTTGTATGAGAATAAGCTACATGTTGATTTATACTAATCTGTTATTTTTCTTTTTTAGCACGACTGACTGAAGTTTTAAAATCATGCAACGTCATAAAGCAGCAGCTGGGCCTGATTCTCACAAAACCAAAACAGACGTGATGAAATTCCAGATGTAAACACATTTGACCTTCCTTTGGCCAATTTGATTTGGAAAAGCTTAAAAATCAACTAAAGGAGCAGCCCGAACAAATGAAGAAACTGGTAAGTTCAAGCTCTTGCTAATTTCAAAGTGTTTTAAGTTTATTTGTTTTTTTTTGATAGTTTTTTTTGCTACGAAGGTAGTCTACTTTTTTCCTAATTCTTTCTTTTTTTTTTTTTACATTAGTACTTGTTCACTACTAATTATCTGTTTATCTTTTAATCACAGATGGAGTGGTGAGGACAAATGTCCATACCACGCCACTGATAAAGAAGTGAAAAAATGCATTACAAGGTAGCTACAACTTGCCCCTGACAGGGATGGAGGAAGAAAGAAGAGAAAGCTAATGTGTCAAATGTCTACATCACTATTTTGCTTTATTTTTTAAACAACATTTTAAGTGTATTAGGATGTTCCCTGATACTTGAACAATTTGTTTCTTTCATTTGCATTTATATATATATATGTGTGTGTGTGTGTGTGTGTGTGTGTGTGTGTGTGTGTGTATATATGTATGGTATGTATGTATGTGTGTGTGTGCGCCAAATTCTGAAGAAACATCTTGATACATTTTTAATAAACGTAATACAAATAAAATTATAAATATAAAATTGCACAAGACGTGTATATATATGAAATGTATAATCATCTCACTCATGTCTTGCTGTTTGTGCAATTGATTTTGTTCAAGTTTATTTAAAAAAAAGTTTTTGACTTTATACTTCTGCAATTATATATATATATATACATATATATATATATATATATATATATATATATATATATATATATATATATATATATATATATATATATATGTATATATATATATATATGTTTGTTTATTATTATTTTAATGTTTTATTAAAAAATGTTTCAAGATGTTTCTTCAGAATTCTGCAGTACTTTTTACAAGTTTGATTTGGATATTTTACGGATTGTCATTGGTATTTTTAAGATGTTTCTTGCTATATCTTAAATTGGTTTCTATATTTAGGTTTATATAAAATTTAGCTGTTTTTTTTTTTTACAAATTTTTAATTCAAGTCTATTGGGAAAACAGGGTTGTTTTAAAAAACATCTGTGTTTGTGTGTAATTTTTAGATTTTTTTGTTTAAATCTTTCTGTGTGTCTTTTTGTGTTGTTTTATTGTTGTTTTTATATTGATATTCTTGTGCACTACAAAATTATTTATAAAATTTTAGTACTATTTTTTTCATGCAATCAATAAACCTTTAACATTTATTTATTTTGTCATTTGTCTGATTATTTTCGTTACAGAATATGTATGCAGTTTGCACTTTATTCAAAGGTTAAACACAGTGCTTACACTTTGTGTTTACATTATAGCCTGTGTTTGCTGTTATATAAATTCAAATGGTTGTAATACCATATATCAAGTACCAATGTAATACCAAAAGGTTTTATAAGGTGTATAAATACGGAGTCGCGCCAGCTCCGGGCCGCAGCGCACATTACCCTCGCGCCGATTCCGGCGCGGATGCGCAGCGTCGGCTCGCTTACGGCCGCCGCATCTGGCCCGCTTGATTCGGGCCGGAATCGGGCAGTGAGTCCACAGGCATCCGGCCCGAGTCCGGCAGCCGAAGTTGGGCCGAGGTGTTAGTCTCCGGCAGGCGACAATCTGGCCGGAACTGGCCCGAGTGTATTTTGCTATCTGGGTAGTGTCTTCTTGACCCATCTGATAGTGTAATCGTCCCGCACAGTCGCGTGCTGCCCCTCCCCTCTGCACGCGCAGCTCCTGACACACACACTAGACTACACGCGCACTAAAACATGGCGGATAAACACTAACCCTCACACTTGAGAAATCACACAAAAACCTTCCCGCGCCAGGTAAACACACCCCTTCATACCGTCCGCGATAACTACTACATCACTTTTTTAAAAGTTGTTAAAAACGTTAAGAAAAAACACAAAAAGTGACTCAGAGTGTGTTATAGGTGTTAGCATTTAAGCTAAATATTGTTGTATACGCATTGGAGGTGACGTATTGCTGTACAATTACAGTGTTACCCGAATAAGTATACTTTAAATTTTGTTTATTGTGATCGTGGGCAAGCGCAAAGAAGCGTAATATTCAATGATGAAGTCCGTTACGAAACACGACATGACGCTACGTAGCAAAGAAGCATGTTTGTTATGAATCTGAGTGTGCTGTTTTGTATGTCGTATATTATTTAAAAGTTATCCTTTTCTATAGTGAAATGAAAATGAAGCATCTTCGAAAACTTTGGTATGATTTTAAATGTCAGAAAGAATGAATAATAATGATCTGTTTGAGTTGTCCAGTTGGACGTGTGTAGCGTCCCAGTGTAATGAGGGTTGTAGTAGTGTTTGGTTTGTGAACGAGTCTTTTAAGCAAACGAATCATTCATATCCACGAACCGAGTCATTTCTTTAGCATTTTTAAGAGCGCTGTTGGAGTGAATCATTACAGGAAAATGATTCAAAAGATTCGAAGCTTTTGGATGATTCAAATCCTGTCGCTGTCATTTATGGAGAGGGAGGGACTGTGTGTTTGGCGCTCAAAGGCGCCCTGCTTTTGAACAGAGAACTGGAAAACCGGGAGACAGGAAGCCATCTTTTGAGGTATCTCTTCGCGTACAGATAGTTTTATTGATTTATTCTGTGCTTATCCATAAAGGAGGGGTGTTTAAAAGCTGAAATGACCAGATGCGAGCGAGCAAATCAACTTGTGTTGAAGAACGACGAGCGTGGATAAACGGGATGCTACCGTGTTTATTGTATTGTTGTTATTATGTTATTATCCAGCTACATATGAATTCAGTAATAGCGCTGCCCAGACATGTCTCTTGTTGTTTACCACTTCACATTGACCTTTTGGGTCAGTGATGCTTGTTTAGCGTTTGACCCAACGACCCATTAGGTCATTACAGATGGGAAAATAATAATCAGTTTGTGTAAGAAAAAAATACCTTTTGGCTAGTTCTGTTATCGATGTCAATTTCATTGTCCTTTGGGCAATATAGCTGCCAGTGGTTCATGGTTAACCGTTCAGCATGTTGACTATGAGAAAATAGTGACAGCTGACTAGTACATACAGGAAAGACTGAACCATCCAACGTTAATACAGACTGATGGGGAAAATTAAAATCCTTCAGATATTACAGTTTTGTGTTTTTCTAATTGCAGAGAGGTTAAAAAGCTGGATCATGAAGAAACCGGTACCACAGAAAGGTAAGATTTTTATTACATTGTTAGTACATTATTTACAAATGCATAGTTTTGTAGAAAATATCAGACTTTTAGTACTTTATTAGTAATATAGCGCACAGTGTCACTGTGTTACTATGATAAGTTCTGATTAATTGCTAAACAGTCTTGTATGAACTCCAGGTTCAGGTCTAATCAAATAAAAAATAATCAAATATATAACACTAATATAAAATAACTAGTCTGCACAATAAAAATACATATAAATAAATACTTATATAAGGTACAGAAATGTCCCTTTTTACATTTATTATTAATAATATTAGATTTTATATTGTGATTTGTGGTTAAGATTTAATTATAAAGGTGGCAAATGATTACCAAGTGTTTTCTTCTGCCGGTAGCTAATGAGTGGAAAGATGGCAAACGTATCAAGCACCCTCGCAGTGGTCGCCCCCCTTGTGTGCCTTCACAGTTTCAAGGTAGCAAATTCGCTGCTTTAAGTCAGAAACCTAATTAGAAATATATTCAGCATTTAAATCTCACTCTGGTTAGATATAGGCTACTTATTTCTTAATATTTTCATTTTTGTCATTTTTGATATTCATCCTTCAGGTTTAGATTTTAATGCACTACATTTAATACTGACATGTTTGCTTAATTTTTAAGGTCATTTTAGTTGGGAGAAGTACCTGAAAGAGACTGGAGCAGTCGCTGCTCCCGCTCAGTACTTTAAACAGGTGAGTTGAATCATGCAACAGTGGAACTCTTCATTATGGACCAAATATAGAAGTTATACTTGATTCCTCCACCACTACACTAAAGGGATAGTTCACTCGAAAATGAAAATTTCCTGCTAATTTACTCACCTTTAAGTCATCCAAGATATAGGTGACTTTATTTCTTCAGTTGAAAATTTAGCTGAATCCAGGGTCTGGTAATTTATAGAGTGGCAGTAAATGGGATGTGTTTTTTAGATTAAAAATAAACACATACAAACCAGTCCAAATCAATTCCTATGGCTCTTGGTGACATACAAAGGTCTTGTGAAGTGAAATCATTGGACTGTCTAAGAAATTGAACACTATTTACAATATTATTAGCTAGGGCTTTGCGATATGCGCAAAAGAAACCTATTACGATATTTTTGAACAATAATGTGATTTCGATTTTTTATCACAATTTTTAAAACACACAGATGTTTTACAGTGGAACATATTTCTAAAGGAAATAACAATTAGATCTTCATCAAAGCCCTCTAACATGTCTCTAAAACACACATTCGATAAAAAATAAAAATAAATAAATAAAAAATAAAAATCACCTAGTAAAGCTGCAACAAATTTTTTCTAGAACAGTCCTATGGCAAAACCAATAAAGAGACTATAGGGTGTGTGTGTGTGTTATGTGTGTGCACGCCGTCAAACACAGGTAGGCTCCGACATTCTGTTTGACCACATGTCAGAAGTAGTTGTGTGTACTTTTTTACGTGTCCACCGATTTTTTTTTTGTTGCCATGCATAGATCATAGTATGGTGGCCGAGAGAGTTAAACGCGCTGCAATTTAAGAAAGCACATGCAGTTACAAAAAAACACCAGCAAATAAAAAAACAATCTTCATCAGTTTGACAGCACAAATGTTGCAAATTGGTCATAACACAAACAACTGAAACAAGACGCAGCAAATTGGTCACAACACTTGCAAATATCCACGTAACACTACGGAAATGTTTCGAGGGGACCCAAAAACATGACAGACCGTGCTGGGATATGGATGTATTATTATGACATGACTGTTGCTCAGTGAAGTGATTGGTGGTCTTTGTAAGGTGAGTTTTTTTCGTTTATTTTAATATTCTGATTACACGGCATAATAACGCGTCCATAATAAGTGTTGTAACTAATTTGCAGCGCGTTTCTTCCTTTGTTTTTGTTGTGACCAATTTGCAACACGTGTGCAGTCAAATTGAGGAAGATCGTTTCTTTATTTGCTAGTGTTTTTTGTAATTGCATGTGCTTTCTTAAATTACAGTGCGTTAAGCTCCCTAGGCCACCGTATCATAGACCTCTTTGTGATGCTGCTGTGAAATAGTCTGTTTACATATCGCAGCTTTTGTGCGCACAAGTTCGTTATTTCCAATGAAGGTGCCTGGCTTGCACGCATATTGGGAGTGCGCGTTCTCCATGCACACCCAGTTGAAAACATCTCTACTTTCAGTATGTTGCAAGCGCACTGCAAGTCACGTGACAACAACTGAGCGATCAACTTCATACTTTACATAGAATACACACATTTCGGTAGATCAATTACCTCAGACAAACACAGAACACCCAGTGCTTTTTATTTTCTCCATAAATCAAACTTGTATCGGAACTGCAGCAATGTTTTGTTAGTTTGTCATCCTCTGAGAAAAAAGTTGATGGGCGCCGAGCAACGACGAGTATGAGCACAAAGCACATTGAATGCTGAAGCAAGCGACAAAGCTCACATGGCTGCGATATGATTGGTTCATACAGCATACTGTGGGAAAATGGTGCTGTAAGGCGATTTAGAAATCGCACATGTTCAAATCGCGATTTCAATACAAAATCAGTTAATTGGACGGTCCCATTATTAGCTTTAATCCACAGCCTGGTCAAGCCGATCAGTAAGGGCTGGTGATGCAATATGCTAAACCAACAGATCTACATTTGCTCATGCGCCAGGATCTGTTTGAATATACTCATATATATATATATATATATATATATATATATATATATATATATATATATATATATATATATATATGTGTGTTTATTTTTTTATTAAACATTATATCCTATTTCACTGCCATTATATGAATAACCAAAAACCACAGATTCAGCTAAAAATAGTCACCTTCACCTTGAATGACCTGTGGGTGAGTAAATTAACAGGACATTTTTGGATGAACTATCCCTTTAAGTAAAAACGTGACCCTTACTCAGCAAACAATTTTGTGTTTATTAGACGTCTAAATGTAAACAGCTAGGCCAAAACAAGGCTGTCAGTGAAAATCTAATAGACATCTAATTGTTTTAGCCAAAACGATTATGTTTAGAGGTCTATTAGACATCTATTAGACATCTTTTAAAAACAAATAATGCTTGCTGGCTTATTCTCAGAGCACTGAACCTCCGGAGAATGAGTTTAAGGCTGGCATGAAGCTGGAAGCTCAGGATCCCAGAAACACTACGTCCACCTGCATCGCTACAGTGGTGGGCCTGACGGGCTCTCGCCTCCGCCTGCGACTAGATGGAAGCGACAACAAGAATGATTTCTGGCGCCTGGTAGACTCAGCAGAAATCCAGCCTATTGGGAATTGTGAGAAGAATGGAGGCATGCTGCAGCCGCCACTAGGTGAGGAAAACAGCACATTAATCAGCAGCTAATTAGAACATCGGGTCAACGTGTGTTTTGTTCAAATGCTTAGCATGCCAGGTCGTAGAATCTCATCTTTTATTTCTGTTCACAGTGCATTTAAGGGATAGTACACTCCAAAACGAAAATTAGCTGTTAATTTATTCACCCTCAGGCCATCCAAGATGTAGGTGACCTTTTTTTGTTTAGTAGAACAATACAACAAAAGAGTTTTAGCTAAAACAGGGGTCTTTGGTGATTCAGAAAATGCAAGTCACACAAGTCAAAAAACATATACAGGCAAAACAATCTATAGCTGGGGTAAATGGTCGGACAACATTCTAGATCCTGAGCGTCCTGCTGTGATTTATAATGATTTATATTAAACATCGGGAAGATTTAAAAGTCAGTCTTCCTGAATGAGATTGTATACGCAAACGTAATTTTAGTTTTTATATATGTTGCAGCATCCAGTATAAACACAAGTACCATTTGCATGAACAATGCAGCATATGTGTCCTTCCTCTTCCCTGTAAACAAACAGCTTGAGGTCATAGTCATTTTAAACCTGTGCATTTGTCATTATATGCTGTTGGAAGCTTGCAGTCCAGTCTGTTTAGGACCATTTGCTAAGGCTCTGGATTAACAGTGCTGTAAATTGTCCAGGATATAGCCACTGGTATTTACAGTGGCAATCAAAATAGAGGGAATGACCTTTTGAAAGTAACTTAACATTGAAGCTTTCTGGGCAGAGCTTCAGACGACCCAAATTCAAGTCCCTGGCTCTGAAACCTTTCCCGTAATGACTCTCTCCCTCTCTCCCTCCCTCCCCCTCTCTCTCTCATTTTAATTAATTTCAATTCATTACAAATGTATTGTCAAAGCATTTACATTAAATTAAAAAAGAACATACATACAGTATATATTAAAAAACATAGTAAACGATAAATAGTGGTAGTAGTAGAAAAAAATAGTAATAAAAAATAAATGGAAAATAAAAGTACAAAATAATTTTTTAATAAACTTTACATTTAACAATCACCATTTTATAATAAAATTGTAATAATAAATAATAATAATCAGAATATTTACAATGATTCATTCATAATCTAAATGTGTTATTCATTTAAAAACCCTTTAATTATTTTTCAATTAATTAAATATTTGCAAAAAAAAAAATCTGAACCTTTGCTAGAATCATCAGAAAATCTATTTTGAACCTAATTTTAATTTAAGATACTTAAATGTATGGAGTATACAGTCTTTGGACTAAAAGCATCCTTCTAGATGCTATTTTAACAATTCGGAAAGCATGAACCACTGTGTCTGGCCAACAGATATTTCATTGTGAAGATAAAGGGATTTTACCTCCTTTGTTTTGACATTTTTGCTGTAGCATTAAGGCTGCATGATATAGGAAAAATTTTTATATTTTATTTTTTTTTGCATTAAATATTGTGATTTGAATACAGTCAGTTTCACAAGATGGTTTAAATAGCTCTATTTTTCTGGGGAGTCTAACAGCATTTAGCTACAGAAATTTAATAATCACAATGCAAAAAAAATGCTTTTCTTATTTTTCTTTGTCTCGTTTTCTCAGATAAAGTAAAAATATTCTTTTGTTCGTGACCTTCAGAAGAATTGAATTCATTCATTTTCCTTCAGCTTAGTCTCTTTATTCAGTAGGGGTCGCCACAGCAGAATAAACCTCCAACTTATTCAGCATATGTTTTACATAGCAGATGCCCTTTCAGCTGCAACCCAGTAATGGGAAAGACCCATACTCATATGCACACACATGCACTATAGCCAATTTAGTTCATCCATTTTACCTATTACACATGTCTTTTACTGCGGGGGAAACCGGAACACTCAGAGAAAACTCACATGAACACAGGGAGAACTTGCAAACTCCACACAGTATTGCCAACTCAAACCAGCGACCTTCGTGCTGTTAGGTGACAGTGCTAACCTCTGAGCCATTGTGTCCTCATTTTCACTTTAAAAAGTAGATTCTTGGACTAAACAAATATATTTTTTGTGCCCAAATGTTTTAAACTCTTGAAACGCACAGTCATGGGCCTTAAAACACATGCAAATGATAAACAGTGTTGCCAGATTAGGTGGTTTTGAGTTTGTTTGTGTGAGTAAAAAATGGCATTGTTGGGTTAGCAAAATTTGGGCGGTTTTGAAACGTAAATGTCATATGCTACTTATTCAACAAAACATACTGTGTGCTTCTCCATTTATTAGTAACCAGTGCATAGCGCAAACTGCGTGGGCTCACCCGCAAGAGAAGGTGAAGGAAAGTTGTATCAGAATCTGACTCCCGGACAAATCTGACTCCCCTTCCTGTGCACGCACATCACACAACACCTGCAGTTAAACTAACATCGATTTACCCTAACACTTTTATCAATATTTTTTTCGCAATTGACAGCAAGAATAAACAATGAAGCATTGTCTGATGGACAAGCAGCTCCTAATTATGTTCAAAAGAATTTAAAACAGCTAAAATGGGACAAATCTATACCCCATTTCGAAAGTAAAACATACTCCAATAGGTAGTGTAATCTACACAGCATTAAGTGCAGTGTGTGGGTGAGAGGGGGCAGTGTTTCGATGTGATCTGGTTATGTTGTGGTTCTATGACTGCTGGTGTTGCTGTATAGTTAAACACTATGACAGTCAAAGTAACTAGATTATTTAGATTTAAATTAATTCAAATAAAATAAAAATATTAATGTAATATATTGGGTGTTTTTGTGAGTTTGGGTGGGTTTTGAAAAGCTTTTGGTCTGGAAAAAGTCAGGTATATCTGGCAACACTGATGATAAACTCACTCTATTATGGGTAAACTTAACAGTGACTAATCACAAATCACATCAGCTCCTGATCAAACTCAACATTGCATATCTTGCGATGTGACTATTGCGGATACTGCTGATATGTTGTGGTAATATATAAACAATATATTGTGCAGTCCTAAATAGTACAATACTTCTTAATGATTCAAAAGAGATTTAACAAAAAAAATAAATAAATAAATAAAATAAATAAATAAATAAAGATTTAGTTAAACTAAAATAATCAGCAGCTTGCCTTCATGAAAAATGTGCTATGGTAAACTTGATGGGATAATTGACCAATTGTTCTGCGTTCTTTAGGGTTTCGCCTGAACGCATCATCATGGCCTATGTTCTTATTAAAAACACTCAACGGAGCAGAAATGGCCCCAGCTCGAATCTTTCACAAGGTATCAGTTTCAAACAACAAACACAAACAGCGGTTTCAAAGTCAAGTTTAAAGTTTTGGCTTGTTTTATGTGTAAAAAAAAATCTAAGTATATATATTTACCTTTCATCTCTTTACTCTTTCTCTGATGTATTCCCCTTTATCTTTTTGGCCCTCCAGCAAGAGCCACCTGCCCCGGAGCAGAACTTTTTTGAGGTAGGGATGAAGCTGGAGGCGGTAGACAGAAAGAATCCCCACTTCATCTGTCCTGCCACAGTGGGTGCCCTGAGGGGCGTGGAGGTGCTGGTCACCTTCGACGGCTGGCGGGGTGCTTTTGATTACTACTGCCGTTACGATTCCAGAGACATCTTCCCTGTCGGCTGGTGCACGCTCACTGGAGACAACCTGCAGCCACCAGGCACTAAAGGTGCGGACCACTCAGCATGGAATAATTCTGTTTACATTAGCATTCAGACACAGTGTTGACTGGATGTAAGAGGTGCAAAAATCGAAGAGCAGAATTAGCTAGGTCAGTGCTAGATACACTACTGTTTAAATGTTTGGTGTCAGCACAAAGTGTTTTATTTTAACAAGGATTAAATTAAACGTGACATTTATAATCAAAAGAATTCTACAGCAATTCTGTATTTAACATTTTGTTTATCAATAAAGGTAAGGGAAAAAAGGCTGGAAAAATTGCTACTTCTACTATAATATGAAGTAGCACTGATAGTAATTAAAGCTTAAAATCAGCATATTTGAATGATTTCTGGAGGATCACGTGACACTGAAATCTGGAGTAAATACAGCTGAAAATTAAGCCTTGACAAAAAATAAACATAGAACATATGTGTGCGATGTTCATTTGTTTATGATTATAAGAGCTGGGCAAAGATGAATCGTGATTAATTGCATCCAAAATAAAAGTTTGTTTTGACATAATAAATGTGTGTGCATTATATATATTTATTTATGTATATGTGATACACACATACATAGAAACAAAGCTATACAAAACAATTTTGTTACATAGATATTTCAATATGTAAATATTTATATATAAAGACAAGCATTTTCTGGAATATGCATGCCTGTGTGTATTTATATATGAATAATAAATAGCACACACACTTAAATTATGTCAAAACCAACTTTTAATAATCATTACTAATAATGAAAAATATTAATTATAACTTAAAATAATTTTCACAAATGTGTTAAAATGTGTGTTGTGTAAAATAGTGCGTGTTTTCAGTATATAAAGTTATTTGTTTTGTAAAGCTCCTCAGTTTTTAGCTAATTAATTTAGATGTGATTCAAAAGGCGTAAGACTCAACATAAACTAAAGCAACTTTGCCATGCTTGAAGCTTAGAAGTAGAATATTATAAAGTTAGTTTCTGTGTGCACAGACGGAGCGGTGGTCGCTGCAAGGTTAACGCGGACTTCACGGTTCACTTAAGATGTAATCTCATTTACGCCAAATCACAGAAATACAGCATGTGTGAATTGGTCAAGCACTGTATATGCATTTAATCACTCGCTTTTCTGACACACAATGGGCCTTCTGTAAATGATGAGCAGCAGATCTAATTTATAATTTAAATATGTCATTCCAAATCTTATATTTAAAACACAAGCTTTTTATATTTCAAAGACATACAAAAATTTCATGTGTACATGCAACTTACATTTGAAAATATAAGAAATTGTGTATGTATGTGACATATAGCCTATGTTTATCTGGTCCAAGCAACATTTCCAGGGTTTGATGAATAGGCTACTATACATTAATTCTTTACAAGTACATGCGTTTTCTTTTTCTTTTAAGAACAGTACCATTTTAATTAACTTTTTAAAGCACATTTTAATTTAAACAGTGAAGTTTTTGTCCGCAAGTACAGTTAATGTTCAAACTATTTATAATGTTTAAAGTGGCTGACAATAATACATATTCTTAATAATAGTAATTAATCTGCCTCGTTTTTGAACTGTGCAGTGCTGTAGCTGCTTAATTAGGCTTACTATGCTACTGTGTTTTATAGATGTGTGAACCTACACTGGTCTCACGGTTCGGTTCAGTTACTAGGTTAAGGTATTGTTACTGACTGCTCCCGCACTTTATTCTGAAATTTATTCCAGCGCCACAAGATATTTAGTCGGGTCCTGCGGTACAGCGGGAATGCAGACCTTTATCCAGAGGTATCGCTGTAACAGCCGAGAGGAGAGGAAAAGTCACGCCAGCAGATCAAATGGGCCACAGAGTGGGAGAAAGAGAGAGAGAGAGAAATGGAGTTAACTTTCATTTTTTCAATCACACTGAAATAGGAGCTTCTGCTGTAAGTGTCAGTGAAAGACTGTCCAGAAAAAACACACACAGTGAAATTGTGCACAGTTTCTGCGTTTTTAAGTAGTTGGAGCGTTGCAAATACTTGAGCTCGCCTCCCTCCCCATAGTAAGCTACGGCGACATATCACATGTGAGATAAATGGCGTCAGTACATAATAACCGGTTAGGATTATTACTGAACCGATACCGAATTGTCCATGTCTGTATCGCGGTGCACCGAAGAAACAATCAATTTTGACACCCCTATTATTTTAATACTGGTCTTTAAGGTGGTACTTGGAGAAAAATTTTTTCTGAGTTGGTACTTGGTAAAAAAAAGATTGAGAAACACTGACCTATAGCATATGTCTTTGGACTGTGGGGCAAAACGGAGCCCCCAGTGGAAACCCACGCCAACACAGGGACCTTCTTGCTGTGAGGCGGCAGTGCTAACCTCTGAGCCACCGTGCCGCCTTATATTGGATTAATCGTGATTATGTTTTGCCTAGCACTAATCATTATAAATTTTTTAAAATTATATTGTCATTTTTAATTGTTATACTAGTTTACAGTAGCACTATTTATACTGTATTTTCTGATAAAAAAA